TTTATATTTTAGTCTTTTTGACAGTTTTTTTGGATATGATCTAAATGTACAATATACACAAACTATTATTAAGCTTGCTAGTCTCCATGGAGATGTTAATGCTTTGCCTGGAATGTTCCACAGTATGACAGTAATTATACAGTATCTTGCTTTTATTCAGTTACAGATGTATTGAATACTACATTTTTGACATCCACATGTGGTAGATAGAATACTGGCTGTGTATCTTCTGTGATATAGCATTTTTTAAAGATGCATTATGTAATTTTCTTGGGGTCTGCCATCTTCTTATCACCACAGAGATGGTGCAGCTTTAACTGGAATGTTGCACAGTATGTATGGAATTAAACGGATCCATCTCCATGAAGTAACAGGTGATGCAAAATATATGCCAAACACTGCATTTTTTGTGATAAAAAGTGTTCAGACTATAAATGAAAACATGTAAGATAGATTAGTTTATTACCATACACTGAAACATCAAGCAAAGCAATATTTCCACAGAGACAAGCAGGTGCAGGAGACTGCTAATAAAGTTACATAATGCGCCTTTAATCATGTGAGGTTTGTCATTTCAAATGTCATAATTTGGTCTGAAGAGATGATTTGAAAGAACTAAACCATCATGTAGGAAATGGGGTATGAGAAAAAGTCAATTTGCCCAGGTTTTAATGATAATCACAACACTTGATAGCTTGGCCTCTAGCTAACTCTACTTGAAGAAAACAGAATTTTCTGTGCACTTTAATGAACTTTGACGGAGATTGGAGCTGGCATATCGGCAGTAACTGGCAATGAGGTCATCTTGAGTTATACCTTTATAAATAGTTTAAAACGTAGAGGTCTATACATTAATTATTTCATCTTGCATTATTGATTGCAAGTGTAAGAGTATAAAATAGAACAAGCATTTCTGTACTTGTCACAATGTTGGTAAGCTTGAAAAGTGATCACCTTTAATTATATTCCCTGCCAAAATGTTGTCTGCATGCAGTCACTACAAAATCTTGGTTTTATTTTAGTTAGTAAAAATTCTTGTCAAGGCATATTTATTTTCCCATAATGTATACATTTTGGGATTTGATAGCAGAGAAAGAGTTATTGGGACTTAACACAGATTTTATCCAAGTCTTGACCAGAACTAAACTAGGTCTGTGGTACTTATATTTAGTCAGTTAATCTGTTGATGATGTTGACTAAAACTTAGTTAGCTGAAGATTTGCTATTTTTTGGTATTTACTAGTTAAAAAGCAGATTAAACTCATGATTCACACATTTAATCTTATTTTCTAGTACTGTTTCTGCATAAATAGTTGTTTTTGGATGAACTCCTGTACAGTTGTCATCTCAGATACATAGAGATATGTAATACCTTTGAAAGGTTTTGTCACGCCTCCTTTTTTGTTGACAGGACATATCTTTAATCAACCAAGAATTTCTTCATTCAGCTAGAGCCCCACTAAACCAAGACTAGACCAGGAAGTCTATATGAGGACTAAACCAGGATCAAACCAGGACACAACCATAAAACTTGCAGACAGCAGCTTTCAAACTTTCCCTTGTATTATTTGTTCCCATCGGCGCTGATATCCTAGTGCAACTCAAACAGCTGTGTAGATAAGATTAAAGTGAGTGAACTCTGGCCCTGACAAAAGCTCAGTGCAAGTTTATGACCCAGCAAACTGTCAAGTCAATGGAGCATATTTTGAACTTGGCGTCTTTGATATTACATAGCCATCATCATTATTCTGCTAACATTACCAGCTCTGCTCTGTAATTTCACCGCATCACAGCCAGATATCTGAGTAGTTCTTTAAACACCATGTTGGAGTAACCAAGATTATACTTTTTTTTTTCTTTCTTTCTTTTACATTCTACTGTAGAACTCTGAAACTGTAAAAATTATTATGACAAGGTTTGCATTTTTTTTTTTTTTAAGCTTTCTACCATGTTATAACGTTGTTCCCTTATCAAAAAGTTTTAGACAGTGTTCATGCATGTTTGAGTCATGTAGCGCTCTCTCCCAGGTTCTATTAGAAGTCTCCTTATTAGGTATGTAACACTAACCGAAATATTGTGATATCGTATCGTCAAAGTTCTCACAATAATATCGTGGACCATCACAATATATCAAATGACAAGTTTCTATGTTTAAATAGTTATGATGCAGCAATAGGTAAAAAAAAAAAAAAACAAGACAGAGGGGACTACATAGACCATGATCCTTTGCTCCATTTCAGTGCAGACTACAAGAAGAAATAACAGTTCTAAGCACTTTTAAATTCTTTGGATTAAGTATCATATTAACTGTTTTGTTAACCTCCACAAAATATCACAATAAATATTGTACCATGAGAGATTGAAAATATCGTACAGAGAGATTAGGATATTGTTACATCGTGAGCTTTCCCACGATATTGCAAAAAATATCATACTGTGAGGTTCATACCGGGACGATATTGTATCGTGAGACCTGGATATCGTTACACCCCTACTCCTTATGGTTAGCTGTAAAATCCTGTGCAAAGAATCCTCCAAGCCTACATCATCCAGGCTCGCACTAACAATTCTCTATAAATATCCAAAAACATGATACAAAACTGTACACAAAAACTTGACAAACCTGATGTGATGTGCAGTAAGTTAAGTGGGATGTACGCTGATTGTGTTGTGATAGCGCTTTGAAGGGGGAGTGACTCAATACAAAGAGCAAAGTGAGGGGAAACTTAGAGCATCAAAAATGAAACTTGGAACACATGTTAATACCTTGTCTCTAAGGCCCATCTAATAAATTGGTTGGCCTATAAGGGCACTTGGAGACATATCGGCTATCGGCCTTAATCTTGTCGATATGGGCCGATAGTCCACGTGGGCAGGTTATACCTCGTTATAAAGCTTAGACTCTCTATATTATGCCCATTTAATCCAATTTACAAACAGATAAATGTTCTAATATGTGGTGATACATCAATATTTATCTGTGGAGTATTTTGTCTGTGTGTGTGACGCCTTACTGCCCCTGAACGCACCCCTAGAGTCACGGGTCAGTCAAGATCCATGTGCACACCCATAGAGCTTATGTCTGATCCACGACACTGACTGACTATAAATAAAAGTGAACTTCAGCGCAGTTTAGGCAACCAAACTACTGCTTGTTTTTATCAAACTTATTAGTGAAGACTTGTGATCTGAGAGGAGCCTGTATGAGCGCTGGGTGTTGCAAATGTGTCAGTTTTCATTCTTTCTCATTAGTTAGCGCTTAGCTGCTGTAGCTCCCACACATAAACAGCCTGTTTTCTTACACTGGCCTACTATAAAGTGACTATAGTGGCTGTACACACGTTATTGGACCTGCACTGATGTAAACGAGCTATGAATAGAGGTGTGAATGATCGGCATTTACAGATAATTAATTACCGTGGCACACACACATTTACCATTAAAAGCTAATTTACTTACTTTCTTTATTGGCTAGAATGTCATGCAAAACTGCTATTAGGTCTACCTACTGTCTTTAAATATGACTGTAAAGAGGCAGAATAAAAATAAATGTACCCTAAACAAACCCAGTTGGCTTTTATGTCGGCTATCAGCTCCAACTCCAACTCCCATTTTATCTGTATTATATCGGCCACAAAAAAAATCCATATCAGTCAGGCTTTAGTTGTCTCTGGTGAATATGGCATCTTAAAACAACAAAATATAAGATGGTGACCTAAATATGTTATGTGTTTGCAGTGAATACCCCATAGAAGTAAAATACCCCTTCTTTAAAAAGTAGTAGTAGTAGTAGTCCACATTGTAAACATCTCCAGCTGCATTAATACTAACAGAAGATTGAAATATGAACTGAAAACCTAATACAGAAATCCAATGAATTACAACACAAGTTTGTATAGGTCAGAAGGTTTTATTTTGTTATTTGCGAACAGTCATTGACATTCTATTTACGAATGGAATATATTGTGCAGTTCTATTCTGTATTGGCATTTTCAAATTATTGGAGTTGTAAGGTTAGATGGACAGTCTGATCCAAAAAAAATAAATAAATAAAATAAAAAAAAAACAATTCTACTACAGTAATTAACAGAGACTTTTGGGCGCTGGAACAATCTTACTGAAATTGCAGTGAATCCTTTCCAAGCTTTTTGATTACACATTTATTCAAAATTTCAGACAATCTTTAAAAAATCCTTTCTTACTTTGCCTTACACAAATTAATTGGACACACAAATTGTCGCCAAATTTGCAAAACAGGTGTAATTACTGTACCGATATTTTGATGAAGACGCTCTGGTTGTTTTCAATTGCTGTGTCTGTTTTTCCCCATTAAAACAATACAAACCACCTAAAACTGTATTGAGGGCAAAGAGAAGGTTTAAAATAGCTGGCAATTTTCTTATAAGAGACATTTATTGCGGTAACTGTCAGACACAATCGTTGTGAACAGAGCTTTGAGTGTCCATATGTCAGTTGTGCTAGCGAGTGTGTGGTGAGGTGCACTGGTCAGGTAATTGGACTTGGCAGCCTTTAGCCATCAGACTGAGAGAAATGGCTTGTAATAGATGTGTCTGAGTTCTTAATGCTGCTACAGAGGAAAAAAATAAATAAAAAAATAAACTTTGCTAGAGATTGTAGTGCAATAGTTTTGATTAGGAGACAAATAAAAATGTTGGGGGAAAAACAGATTTATGGTAGTTGATAGCCCTTTCGGAATAATTACTATATTGACCTATCATTCAGTACCGTTGTTCAATTGTGTGCATATCTTTGTTGCAATAGTGGGGAGATTTTTGTTAGTTTTTCTATCATACAGTCAGATTTAGTGTGATTTGCCCCCCAAGTTGTGAAAGGTGGTTGCAGCCTGGAACTGGAACCTGGATCTCTACTAACTTCAAAACTAAATCTTCATGACATCACAAGATGGAACAGAGCATTTTCATTTTTGGAGGTGTAGATCAGGGATCCCCAACCTCCGTGCGGGGGACCAGTACAGGGCCATGGGTCGTTTGGTGCAGGGCCGTGAAAGCGCAAACCCCCCATCCCCATACGTCGCACGGACCCCCCTCCCGTACGGCGAGTGGACCATCCCTCCTCCCGTGCACCGCATGGACTGTCTAAACAGGTCTAAAACAGGTCTAAAACCAGGACTAAAACAGGATTTAGCCAGGACTTAACTATGCCGTGCAGACCGCGCACCTCGCCCTGCTCCTACACGCCACGCTGATCCCCAACACCCTCCGGTCCGCGAAATATTGTCAGATATAAAACCGTGGCACAAAAAAGGTTGGGGACCACTGGTGTAGACAGCTTAATAATAAAGGGTTACTCAAACATGAGTGAATGGAAGAAAAAAAAAACAAAAAAAACCTCCAGATATGTTTTTGTTTTGAGGAGGTAACAGCATTATAAGCTATAAGCTCACAAGAGTTAGTTTAGATTAATATAGGGCCATTAAATGATACCGTATATAAAAAAAACAAACAACCAAAAAAAAAAAACCTTAGTTGCAGTATTATTGTTTACCATGATATATTTAGGCCTAGTACATGATTGAACGTGTGTCCAAATATCACTGTGCACATATCACAATTTAGTGAATGGGAAGTTTCTAGGAAAAGTACTACTAAAATCCTACACTGAATGTAGGTAGATGGCTTGAGCCAAGTTACGAGTCAGATCTGGAGGGACAAGCGTGTTTTTTTGGAGAGGAGGGGGGTTGTATATTTTTTATCAGCCGAACTGTTGCGGTGAGGATTTAATATTAATCATATGTAGAACATTTTTGTCCTGAATATATTCATAACCCACAGAGTGTTTTATTGTTCACTAATGAGGAAGTGCATTGTTAGCATGCTATCTTTACTGTGGCAATATTCAGATGCTCCACTGTGTTTTTAAACTCCATACACCTTCACTAGAATCATTTGGATCATTTCAGCCCTGGAATTGCCCATCTCTGCTGAACTGAAGGTTGAAAGGTAGCTGTTAATTTCAAAACGACCACTGCATGACATCACAAGGTGGAACAGAGCATTTTGAGCTTTGGAGATGTAGACAGAAGTTACTCAATCATGTGTGAATGAAACAAAATACAACTCCTGGTATGTTTTTGAGGAGGTAACAACATTAACATAACTAAAAGCTCACGAGTCAATTTTGCATAGGGCCCTTAAGAAAAAATCTGTGCCTTTTAAGTAAAAATTTCATCTTTTTGGTTGATTTTCTAAGGTCCATGTGAGCAAAAATGCGTAATCATGTATCTTTCCATTTCTGTATTTGCCATTCAAACCTTTAAGTTCTTTCTATTTTGTTGTGTTTACAGTAAACCTCCTGGACTCGCGATCTGTCATGGGAGACCTGGGGTGGGTGGCCTATCCAAAGAATGGGGTAAGTAACATCCTATATACTGTACTAGACAAAAACCAATGCATACATAACTCACAATATAACCTTTACCCAATGTACAACCAAGAGGCCGCATACTAACAGTACGTGTACGTGATAAATGACTCCCCTGGTCAAGTGCAGGTCCCTCATTTGTTTTATCAAGGTTAAAGGTCATTACATTTCAAGGAAGTCCCAGTTCATTATCAAGCTAAATTGAATTCATGAATAAGACATCGAAAGTCACTGTGGAATATATTACTCGCAGGCCAAAAATTGAAATCTGCAGTTTCCCCAAGGTGACAGCTAATTAGGAACCAAAAAAGACTAATGATTGGTCCTTCACAAAGTGTATTTTAAGACAAGGATATAACAGTCATATTATAGTTATATGAAGTACTATGACCATTTTGGAAATAAAATCATGAATTGCGACTGTGTTTGCGATTTGCTTTGTGATTTATGTGAGATTATCAAGATTCAGTTCACAGTGTGCCTTTGAAATATTTCCAGATGCGTTAATAAAGAAGAAAAAATATTATCTGCTAAACAAATACAAGAATCACATGCATTTCAGAGCATGTTTGTAAAAGATCTAAACTGCAAGATGAGCTTTTATATATATATACATGATATCTATAACATACATCAGTGGTTCTCTTTTCAGGGCAAGTACTACCATAGAACATGACAGTTTTTTGGGAAGCTCCAAATTGAAACTAGATCCATAAAAGGGGCTATTTCAAGACTAAAGTAGAGTTAAACCAGGTAAAACATTAAGTTCTAAATGAGATGTGAGCTAAATGAGAAGGAAAATGTCAATAAAGTTTAGTCCAAATTAAACTAAAACTTGTACTGCAGAGGCGCCCAAGTAAAAGCAGTTTTTGCGAATTACGAATTGTGACTGCTCTGATTCTGATTCTGATTATTGTGATGTTTTCATGCTAACAGCTACCTTTTACTTTTTGTTGAGGATATTGGCAACTCCAGAGTTGAAATTATCCAAATGCATGTGGAGATGGGGAGATAGTGCTGACAAAAGCATTCATATGTGCAATCATTCTAATGAAGATGTGATTATGGGCGTAGCACCAGCATAAATAACACATCCAGAATAAAGGGACATGATAAGACTGTAAGGACCCCATTACGACCTTGTGTCTGATTAACAGTTGTTGCTGGCTACGGTTAATTTAAATGATAAATTCTCATTCAGAACGCCAAAATGAAAAGTCTATTATTACTTTTTTTTTTTTTTTAAATAAGAGATGCTGTCATTACTGGTTATTACGAATCCCATTTCCACCCTTCTAGTCTCAACCAACCATTGTTACTACCAAGAGTGATATCGGAGTCTGGTCCTCTGCCAACTTGGTGATTAGCTGGTGCCAAAGTCTGCATTTATTACTGTTTTACAATCGCCATATTTATTGTCGGGAAAATTCTGTTGACAATAGACAGTGCAAAAAGAGGAGGGGTTTGTACCAGGTTTTCAATGGTCCTGAATTCAAAGGTGGATGGACGCATTAGAATGAGACCCTTGGAATACCAAACAAGGGCGTTTGTGAATATAGCACAAAAATAAAATCGGTCATATCAAAAGGGAAGGAAGGAGTTATCCACTGACTTTAAAGGACACATATTATGCTAAATTCGCTTCATTCACGCTGGTTTCAGTACATTTTTATAAAAAGTTATTTGCTTCAGAGCGTCAGAGAAGATGTGGTTTGAATTCCCCAGAATTGTGGCGGCACAGGTAGAATCTCCATGCAGTTTCTAATTCCATGACTCTCATAGTGTTGATGTGGCGACACTGACAATTTCATTAGAGCCAACGTTTGGAATAGAAGGTGTACCAGTCTTTAGAATGTAGGCATTCTGTTTACACTGAAAGGGCGTATGCTTTTGAAAAATGAATTGATTTGAAATGATCTATTATAACCTTTGTTTGAACAAATAAAATGATTGCTTCATGGTTAGTTAAGCCTGTCATGAAAAAAAAAAAAAAAAAACTCTAATTTTTTGGGGGTCAGTATTTATCATGGGTACTTTTTCTTTGTACTAGACAAGAACGTTTTATTTTTCTGTACTACAATAAGATTTGAGCTGCGGAGGGTTGAATCGATTACTTTGACTCGCTATGTTGATGCAAACCAACTACTGAAGTGTTTCATTCTGCTGTTAATTTATTACAAGTCAAAATGGATTAGTGTGACAGGCCTATGATCAATGAGCAAATTATTTTTAAGCTCAAGCAGAAACATCCCGTGGCACTGTCCAGTCTCTTCAGAAAGAATCTCTGTCATCTTAAAATCCAATTTTCAATAGTCCCTGACCAAATCTAAGTTTAGAAGTGCATTTCTGTTGCAGTTTCTCACTAGCCAGGCTGGCGCCACCTAGTGCCTCTACGCAATTTCATTTCTCTCCAGCGACGAGGTCAGGAATTGGAATACACTAAATGGTTTGCAAGAACCCTGGAAGTGTGAGTCCAGGCACCAGCCAATCAGCGAAGAGCCATGCTTTCTGTGTTGGCAACGATTCCCAAGATCGAGGATTTAAAGCCGGAAGAGAATATTTGGTGAATTTTATTAAGGGGAAAGACATTATTGCCCTTCTTCCAACAGGATTTGGGAAAAGCTTAATATACCAGTGAGCCCCGTTAGTGGAGCATTACATACATCACGACCAAACAGCAGCAATTGGTTAAATTTTTTAAAAAGTACCCGCCTACCATTGAGCGAACAAATTCTAATGTTGTGAGATCAGACGGTTTCCATGAAGTGAAACCAGCTGATGAATCTCTAGTTTCTCACACCCTGTAGCCAAAACATTTTATTTCTATTGCCGTAACTTCATTCCCAGCTCCACTATCCATTCTCTCACATGCTAATTCCTGTTGATGTTTCCTTCCTGACATCATGTTCCATATGGTATGTTTATTTTTTCCTCCCTATCTCCTTCTCTCTCCCTCTGTCTCTCATCTCCAACCGCTGTTCCCCCCATCCCCACCTCTCTTTGTCCCAGAGCATTTGTCTAACTCCTCATTCTCTCTTCACATCTGTCTGTCATCTGTTTGCCATTTCATCTCAGTCGTCTCTTCAACCCTTTACATTTGGATCCCCTGTAGATTCCCTGTGTTTTGAACTCCCAAACTCATCCTAAAACGTTTAAATAGCTTTCAGATCGGATGGATGACCTTGAGATGTGTCATAGAAATGTACAGTTTGATAAAAAGTTTCCGTTGTCAGGGAGGTTTTTCGACTTTGCAATCTACAGCTGTTGCCGCGAGCTACGTTGAAGTGTTTCTTGTAATCATTTGCAGTTGATGGGAAGCTAAAAAAGACTTTGCTGACCTGAGGAATTCTGCCGCCTCATGTTGTGAAGTGGAACAGATGTTGGTTCTTGCAAAGTAGTAGATGAGGAAAAAACTCGAGATGCATCAAGATGAAGAGTCTATGACGAAAAATGAGTTGGTTGGCTGGTTAGTTAGTTAATTACATCTCATCTTTAAAAGTGCACTGCAGAACTTGGTGGAGGGTATGTCATCTACTGCTATTGCTTTGCCAAGTAGTAATACATGTTTTATTTTGGAGAAATAAAATACATATAATGAACTAGTCCATTTCCATGAAGAATATTAAGTGGTATACCCTCAACCACAAAGGTTACACAGTGTATTTTGACAGCAAAGCAAATTTGGATTGATATGTGTAGCCCTCTGAACTGACCCTGCATTCAGTTATCTTCCAACTCTCACTTTGACCTCGGATTTGACATCATGTCCGAGCTTGAAGTGTATTATTATATTTCATGTGTTGGACTTGGAGAGTAGCGTGTAGCCTTACAACACTGACTATCATACCCATAGGCCACGGGAAGGCATCTCAGTAATACGAGTGACTGAAATTGTCATTTAAGATAAGATAAGATATGCCTTTATTAGTCCCACAGTGGGGAAATTCCAAAGTTGCAACACGCAATTTCAGAACAGCAGGAAAAGGTAACACAGATAATAAATAATAGCTTAAAAATAATTTTAAAAATAGACTTAAAAACTAGAAAAGCACTCAGAGAGCGCAGACCTCCGCCAAGGACTACCCCCATTTTTTATATAAATTGCGATAAAATCAGTCTTTTGGATCAGATCCGGATCAGCCTTTGGAATATGAAAGAGGATCCCATTGTCCATCCCTGAGTCAAATTTCATGGGGTTTGGTCAATAATTAACCGAGATATTGAGAAACTAAATTTTTGGCCCCATTTACCACAATGTTAACTAAAATTTCAAAGTGATCCAGAATCCAGGATTTCTTCCGGATCACCCCCAAAATGAAATCAGTTCTTCCTTTGCACATTTCCAACAAATCCTGAAAATTTCATCAAAATCGGTCCATAACTTTTTGAGTTATGTTGCTAACAGACAAACAAACAAACAAACAAACAGACAAACAGACAAACACCAGCAAAAACATAACCTCCTTGGCGGAAGTAATAATTGCACATGGATATAATTGACTGGCACATGTTCAGTGTTAACAGTGTTTGTTGTAAAGTCTGACAGCAGCAGGAAGGAAAGACCTGTGAAACCTCTCCTTCACACAGCGAAGGTGAATGAGTCTGTCACTGAAGCTGCTCTCCAGAGCAGACAGAGCGTCCTGCAGGGGGTGAGACTCATGGCCCAGCATAGAGATGACCTTAGTCAGGACCCTCCTGTTTGGCAGTTGACAGTTGGCAGAGCTATCTTGGCTTTTGACTGGGAATCCTTGCGCAGTCTACTATTCCCGCCACCGAGGTCCGAGTCGCACCGTCCCAGGAAAAGAGGGGTGTCACACGTGTCGCTAGACAAATTCCTTGGAAAACCGATTCGGAAGGATAATCAAACTCTGGGTGAGTTCTACACATTAATCTGGGATGGTTCTCACTCAAAGTGTTTAGAACCACTGACTGGAGCGTTTAAACTAAGACTTGATGTTTATTGGTTGAAGCATCAAAATAGTGAAACA